GGAAGCGGATGAAACATTTTCCCAAAAGTATAGTTTTTATCATGACTTCCGACACAACTGCGGAGATTAAAAGAAGACGCGATGTCATTCTTTTTGATAAAAGGAACTTTTACAACACGATTTCTTGCTGCCGGCATTGTAAACAATCTTTATGGCTCTAGATGGTTTTCATTCTGTTCCGTGAAAATTCATTCGAAATTCTGTCATGGTACCATATGTCCTCCACCAGCTGCACATTAACTGTAAGAATAATATTGTTTTCTTCATATTTATAGGGTCCTCAAGGGCATTCCTTGCCTGTAACCCTAAAATAGGCATGCACAAGTTACCTGGAACGCGAACTTTTTCATTCATTTACAAACAACTGATGAAGTCCCGCTAACGACAGCATTCGTCCGACACACGAATCAGTTCAAGAGTTTTACGCATTTGTTCAACCATAGGACTTTTGTCCTTCCGTTAAGTATTACCGGCCTTAGTCTGGATTTCTTCCTTCAAAAACTTCTGCAGAGGGGCATTAAGTTATTAAGGAGTATTTGTACTCGTGGGTGCCTTTAATAGTTTTGCTGCAACTTCGAGCTCGACCTCTACCAAGGTCAGGACACCACGTATATCAAAAGTTGGCACTTGGACACTTGGTAGCCGGGTCTCGAAGTCTTTGGGGCTTGGGTCATTTATTCATGGGTCGTTACACGGCTTCCACGTTGCTTCTTTTGGGATTTCTAGCATTTGCATTTGTGTTTGCAGATGGTGCACACGAGCATTCGCATTCCGGTTTTTCTGATCATGGGCATGCGTAAGTTTTGTCGGACGTTCGCTCCGTGCGCATTGGCTTCTCCTGCCGGATACTTTTTAAAATTATGTTCATACCTTTTTGTGCACTTGCTTGTCCGTGGGCTGTTGACCAGCTTCGGTAGATGTGTTGCAGATTTGACCCATAATACATTTTTTAAGGTGTAGAGTGTTTATTAGGCAGTTGATCCACTTAAAAAATTGCACAATGAATACCCATTTCCACCTTTTATGTGAGAGTCCGTGTACTGCTGCTACAGAAGCGATGGGTTTCTAAGTAAGTAGTTTATTCGTGTTTCTATGGGACGTACACTTGGGGACAACATAGTTAGCAATTCTATAAGGCCCGGGGCGCACGCAAAGTGCCTATATATCAACGGCCTTCGTAGCTCATAATTCATATTGCACTTTTTTACACGAACTATTCTTTCTCAGATTTCTCTGTCAGTGTGATAGTGTCATCTCAAGTTGCGATTAGCGTAATAATTTATCTTCTGGCTGGTGACTTCCAAAGTTTCCGTGGACGATACAACCTAACAGAGACTTGAAAAGCCTAATATTCGTCTTATTCTGTATCTCTGTCAACCCAAGGCAATTTTCGAAATCTCCATTAAATCCCGATGCCGTAAAACTGAACTCGTAGAATCAATATGCCCATTTGAATTGGACCCTATACTACAATGTGTGCTTTTGTAAAACATCGAACTACGCAATTTATAAAAAAAGCAGTCTATGTTTTTGTTATTGAGTATTAGCGTAGAACTACCAGCCACCTTCTACGCTTTAAAAACAATCGTTGGTTGATCCTTTCTGAATTAATTGTATCGGACACAATTTCGAAATCTCAGTTATTTCAGTAAGGAGCCCCTTTTGATGCTTCGTTTTCTTCAGAATAATTTAGCTACTTTCCTGCATGATATGAAAATTAATCTAAGGTTCACTTTCATTTTTATTGCACACAGTCATGGCGCGCCCTCTGAAGACCATTCTCACAGCCATAGCCGCGTGCCCAGTGATACTAGTGGCCATGTTTCATCCCAACAAATTTGGAGAGATACTATCGGGTCAGTTTTGACCATTAGCATTCTCCCTGCCGTTGCACTGTGGGCCATCCCGGACCTAAGCAAGCGTCCGAATCTCCTAAAAATTCTTCTGGGGTTTGCTGCGGGCGGTCTTCTAGGCGATGCCTTCCTTCATCTTATTCCTCATGCGCTTGAACCCCACTCAAATTCCGGCGGTGATGAGGCACACTCACATGACAAAGAGCATGGCCATAGTCATTTGTCCGAGCACACTACTGTGCCACTTTGGGTCATCGGCGGGATATTTAGTTTCCTGTGCATAGATAAACTTCTCCGGTTCCTAAATGGTGGAAGTTCGCACAAACACTCTCACACCTTGAACGCATCTACCAAGCCGTCCGGGGCCAAAGAGCAGAATCACACCGAAAAGCAGAAGAGTGTCTCTGGCGACGAAAAATCTAAAAAGAAGAAGAAATCCAATGGATCTAAGAAGGAGGAACAAGCCAACAATAGCGACAAGAAAACATCCGCGAAGAATAAGCCAACAACGGAGTTAAAAGACTTGAAGGAAGAACGCCAAAACAGCGTGGCCAAACAGCCTAAAAAGAAGAAGGGGTCTTCAGGTACGCTGTTATACAGATAGCCACTGGACTTCCAGGATAATTGCTTTTTAGTGTACCAGTCCATTTTCTCTAAAATTTTACGGAAAAGAAGGTCATGCGTTTTTTTATCTGAAGCTCATCCGGTCAGCCTACTATTTACTAGAAAATTACTTACCTCAAATCTAGTCTTTTGCTTTTGAATTCCATTAGTAATATCTTAAATTAGACGGAGCGGAAAAGGCCTATACAGATCTTAACCAGCCAGAAGTCTTTTGGGATATAAAAAAGTTCCAATCTAAGCGTTAATAAGCTAACAAGTTTTATCCGACGAGAATTGCAACGTGGGTGGCTTAGCCCTCATTTGCAGTGTTTCTGTGGCTCTCGCAAACCCCTGATCTCGGGCTTCCATCCACTTCGTGATAGTGCACTTATCCGCTTAGTATTGTTGTATGAATTTGGGATTCAGGTGCAAAGAGCTGGAACTCTCTGGCACAGGTTGATTGCATGAACTGGCGGATTTTCCATCGATGAC